TCCCCAAATTATTTGTCAGTTTATTCAACAGTCCATCTTCTTTTTTAAAAAAAATATTTGTTATTGATTATGCTATTACAGTTGTCCCATTTTTTCTCCCCTTTATTCCCCCCTGCCCTGTATTCCCCCTTCCATCAGCATCTCCCCCACCTTAGTTCATGTCCATGGGTCATACATATAAGTTCTTTGGATTCTCCTTTTTCTATACTATTCCTAACCTCCCCCTGTCTATTTTGTACCTACCATTTATGCTTCTTATTCCCTGTACCTTTTCTCCTCTTCTCCTCCCCTTTCTCATTGATAACCCCTGATGTGATCTCTATTTCTGTGAATCTGTTCCTGTTCTAGTTGTTTGCTTAGAACAGGAATTTTCTGTTTCATTTTTTTTTTTAGGTTTGGTTGTCAATAGTCGTGAGTTTATTATAATTTTACTGTTCGTATTTTTTATCATCTTCTTTTTCTTAGATACGTACCTCTAACATTTCATACAAGAAGGGCTTGGTGATGATGAACTTCTTTAACTTGACCTTATCTGGGAAGCACTTTATCTGCCCTTCCATTCTAAATGGCAGCTTTGCTGGATAGAGTAATCTGGGATGTAGGTCTTTGCCTTTCATGGCATGAGAAGTAGGTCTTTGCCTTTCATGAGAAGTACTCATGCCTTTGAGTACTTCTTTCTAGCCCTTTCTTGCCTGTAAGGTTTCTTTTGAGAAGTCAGCTAACAGTCTTATTGGAACACCTTTGTAGATAACTATCTCCTTTGCTCTTGCTCCTTTTAAGATTCTCTCTTTATCTTTAACCTTGGGTAATGTAATTATGATGTACCTTGGTGTGTGTTTCCTTGGATCCAAATTCTTTGGGACTCTATGAGCTTCCTGGACTTCCTGGAAGTCTATTTCCTTTGCCAGATTAGGGAAGTTCTCCTTCATTATATTTTGAAATAAGTTTTCAAAGTCTTGCTCTTCTTCTTCTCCTTCTGGCACCCCTATGATTCAGATGTTGGAACGTTTAATGTTGTTCCAGAGTTTCTTAAGCTTCTACTAATTTTTTTTTTATTCTTGTTTCTTCATTCTGTTCTGGTTGAATGTTTATTTCTTTCTTCTGGTCCAAATCATTGATCTGAGTCCTGGTTTTCTTCCCTTCACTGTTCGTTTCTTCTTCATGTTTCTTTATTTCACTTTTCATAGCCTGCATTCTTTCCTCTATTTTGCAGCCGTACTCAACCATTTCTGTGAGCATCCTGACTACCAGTGTTTTGAACTCTGCATTTGCTAAGTTGGCTATCTTCATTGCTTAGTTGTGTTTTTTCTGGAGCTTTGATCTGTTCTTTCATTTGCGCCATTTTTTTTTGTCTTGGCACACTTATTATGTAGTAAGGGGTGGAGCCTCAGGTATTTGCCAGGGTGGGGCAACCCACTTAGCTGCAGCATTGTGATGCTGCATGTGGGGGAGGGGTCTGAGAAAGAATGATGTGCTTGCTCAACTCTCCCCCAGTTTTCAGTGATTTCCTCCACTATCCACAAACAAATCGAGCCCTTCTGGTGCTGATTTGAGGTGGGTGGGTTTGTGTATGATCTAGGACCCTGTGGGTCTCTCCAATGAACTCTGCTGTGAGGCTGGGAGTTTCTTCTTCCACCTCAACTCCCACAGGTTTTTTCAGTAAGTGGTTTTGAGGCTTTATTTCCTGGTGCTGGAACCCTGGGCTGTCTCACTCCCCAGTTCCTCCTGGTTTATCTGCACGCAAAGATGGGACTGCTTGCTTCACCAGCTGCTGCCTTGCCCACCTGGGTTCACCAGCCACTGCCTTGCCATGAGTCCTCTCCACCTCAGCTGCTGATCTGCACCCCTCCTGCTTGCCTGGATGAATGTTTTTACTTTAACTCTTTGGGTGTCACACTTCCAAACAATTCAATTTTTGGTAGTTCTGGTTATTTTTTATTTTTTTAATTTTTTGTTATCCCTCTTTTGGTTGTGCAAAGAGGCAAAGTATATATACCTATACCTCCATCTTAACAGTTCATTTTCTCACTTTAGTCATTAAACTTTATCAGATGCTAAATTGCATAAATACTTGAGTCCATTTCTGATCTTTCTATTCTATTTTACTCATATGCCTAATTTGTTAGTATATTACTGCTTTAATTGCTGTGGGTTTGTAATCTTTTTTTTTTTTTTAGAGTTTGAAAAACATTTCTTGGAAGTTTTTGAACCCCTATCCCAACATATTAACATTTTTACTTTTATTTTCCACAGACTGAGAAAATGCATATGAGTGTGAATTCTTAGATCATAGATGTTCTGACTCAGTTGTGAGGAGCTAAAGAAGGAAAACAGAGGGAAGTTGTCCTCCACTTAATCGCTATTGAGCAGAAAAGTCGGTACAATGATAGCCCACAATTCTCCAATAGTGATGTGTGTTGAGTTAAATTTTTGATGTTTCTGGTGACCTGCAGCAGGGTGAGCAGCTAAAAGACAAGTGTAGATTCCCCTACACTTTTTTTTTTAAAGAAATAAGTTATAAAAATTTTATTTTTCAAATCCAAGGCAAAACAAATCCCAGGTTGGAATCATCTATTGGGAACTACTATGTAGAAACACATGAACACCTATTATTAATGAAGTGTTATCACAATTTATTTCAGAATCAAACTAGTTTAGTAGATGACTGACTGACACACATAAAATATACAAATGTGACAAGGTTCAGATTTTACTTATAATTTACTTGAATGAGATCAATTTCTTCAGTCTAGCTTAGTTCTCCTAAACTATGGATTATTTCATGTCCTTGGTCAGAAGAAATCAATAAAGAAAAAAAAGATCTGTGATTGAAGATGCATCATGATGTTGTCCCAAATGCATGAGTTACTTTCTCCTTGGAAAGAAGACCCCAAGGCCTCCATTGCACCTTTATTTGAATGTAATATTTGAGACAGTTGTCCTAAAGGGCTGATATTTCCTGATTAATCTGAGGTCATAATAAAACAAGCAACAAAATAGTATCTGGGATTTTGGTTTCTCACCCTTATTATCAAGACTCACTGTCTCCCATCATCAATATTTATTGAGCATTTATAGTGTATTAGGCACAATAGAACATACAAGAAAACATTATTTCTGCTCTTGAGGAGCTTACATTCTAAAAGAAAAAAATACACCTTTTTTAAAATGGTATTTTTGTTTGGTGTTTTTGCCAGGTACTGAGGAAATAGTCTGTAGGGTGAGCTTTGGGTATAACTTAGCCCCATTATTTAAAGAAGAGAGGAAGAAAGAGGATTTCAAAGCAGCCAATGTCAGACCTTTCAGGATGGTGTAGTTTTATAGGGAGGTAACACAACCTCATCAACTAAGGAGGCTTGAGGGAAGGAAATAGTTTATGGGATGCAAGCAAAGGAAATAGTGTATCCTTAGACATTTAGTGGAGCCAGAAAGATCATGTGGCCTTTTCCCCCAAGTATATGGCCCCCAAGTAGGAATGGTTGCTGACAAGACAAAAGGCTAAAAAGGTAATCCTGTGCACCTGACAAATAGAAAGGCAGGCTATAAGAGCATCAAGAAATTCTTAGAAACAAAAGTGATTTGGAAGCACAAAACTTACAGTTAATGTGACCCAATGTCATGATGGGCCAAGAACATTGTGACTTCTGAATTTAGAAAAAGCCATATACTAAAATTTTAAATGGAACAAACACATTACCCTTAAAAAATGGATCCCACCTCTTAAAGACAAAAACAAAACCCCCCAAACTATCTTTTTTCCAGGGGGTTGGGTGGGGGGAGGAGCATGAGATGTGGTTGGGAACAGTAGTTCTAGTAGTAGTATTTTGTTGTTATGATAAGCTTTGTATTTAAACTTGGTAAAGCCTACTAGCTGTTGAGAGGGAATAAGGAATAAATTTCCAAAAAATGTACAATTTCCTTGAGAGAAGTTTTAGAACCAAAAGGCTAATTTACATGAAAAGCTGTAGAGAAGTAGTTGAAGAGTCCATTCATAAAACTTTTATTCCACTTACATGAACTTAATACATGTGTTCTTAACAATTATGCTTAGATTGTTCATGAAAATTTCATAAGACATTAACAAAGTTAGCCATCATCTCAAGTTATTTCCCTGTTAACTATTTTTACAGCACATGCATGTTAGGCAAGTATTAAAAAAAACAAAAAAAACTAAACAAAAAAGCCCCCTAAAAGCAGAAAAAAAACCCCTGAAAAAGTTAAATTTATGGGTTTTTGTTTATTTTACTGCTATACTTGATATACATACAGTAATGAATATCAAGCAATTAATTTTACTGCATCTTGTACATTTGTTCTTCAGTTGCCTAAAACATTTAAATACAAATAAAATGAGTGCAGCAAAAATAATGAAAGTAAACAGCAGATAACTTTATAGATAATGGAATGTGAACTGTTTCTGCCCTTATCCAGAGTAAGCTGGGTTACAACTAAAGGAACGCTTCTGTAGCTGTAGTTAAAGATGTGCACATTGGGAATGAGTAGTCCACAGATATGTGCATGGTTCAACATGAATTATCCATGGGGCAGTCATTTCTACTACAGCCCTCTAAGTGCTCCAAAACTTTTAAGTACTCACAACAACTACACCTGTGACTGGAACCCAATGATTCCTTTTATTCCCCACCAGGACAAACTAATATGTAGGCAATTTTCTTTGCTTAGACATGGAAGCAATTTTAGCACTGGCTCTTGTGAAGCCACAATGTACCAAAAGTACTATGCCAAACATTTATAACTTGTATAAAAATTCCACATCCCCATATTGGCCACCTCAAGATGAAAACATAACTCCCTGAAGATTCACTGGCTCTACTCCCCTAATATTAAACATAAAAACCATGTGGGAAATATAGAAATTCAAATAGAAGTAACATAAACCTGTCATAAATCATAAACAAAAACTATATGTGGAACAGCATGGATGACAAATGGTCTACTGTGTACATTTAAAATGAGGCAGACAAAAGTTTGAAGGCTGGTTAATATTCTCCTCCTTCTTCTGCTTCAGCTTCATCTCCTTGGGTATTCGATGTCCACAATGTGAAGTTGTGTCTCAGTAATTGCATTATTAGCGTGGTGTCTCTGTATGACTCTTTACTTAATGTATCAAGTTCAGCAATGGCTTCATCAAAAGCTATCTTTGCAAGAGAGCAGGCTTTCTCTGGTGAGTTCAGAATCTCATAATAGAACACAGAGAAGTTAAGGGACAGACCCAATCTGATAGGATGTGTTGGCTGCATTTTTTTTCTGATTTCAAGAGTTTTTTGGTGTGCTTGTGACCAATCCACAAGCCCCTTCCTATCATCCCCAGGAGCAACCTCAGCCAAGTAACGGTAGTTTTCCCCTTTCATTTTCAAATGGAAGACTGTGCTCTCTGCTTGTGAAGCTCTGGGGATCAAGCACTTCTCCACGAGAGACAGGATATCATTGCAGATCACCTCTCAGCTCCATCTCAGTCTTCTCTCTGTCTTCCTGAGCTATCTGCTGTTTTTCCTCAGCACCTTCTGTCTTTTGCTCAATACTCGGGATGACCCTCCAAGATGATCTATGGGCTCCTACAACATTTATATAAGCAACGGAGAGAAGATTCCTCTTCTCATTGGATAATTTGGTTCCTTGCTCAGTTACAGACTTCATGCAGGCTGCCATGTCATCATACCACTCAGCCTGCTCAGCCAGGTTGGCCTTCTGCACCAGCTCCTCTCTATCCATGACTGGATGTTCTGTGTCCCGAGTGGGTGGTGACAGAACAACTGGGGCTCAGTAGTCTCTGGGCTCTGAGGCTGAGACTCTGTCCCTCGATCTTACTGCTCACAGGCCACTTTGTTGTTTTTTTTACAAATGTAATTGAACACATAATTTTTAAATAAATTGATTAGATTATAATTGATAATATAAGATATATTCACATGAATTTCCTTTATAATTCAGAGGCTATGATTGTTGTTGATATTTTTTGAGAGACTGATTTAACTAATGTTTTCCCCTTTCAATATGTGTTTGGCATTAGGAGCAACCTTTCAGTTAAATAAAACAGACACTCAGACTATATAGGACCTCAGTACTTACAGGCTTCTACTCTTTATTTCTCTTGCAGTTAAGAGGAATACAGCTCACAAGGCAACACATTAAACATTTCCATATTAGAAAAAGTAAATTTTAGAATGTGGCTGGGATCCTTCAGGATTTGGAAGAGACAGTGACTGTGGTCACAGCCAAAGGATAGGCAGCTTGAAGCAGCAGGAAAAGGGAGCATCAGGGTCCCGTTCTTTACACATGGTGGGATGGCAGCTCCTGCCAGGAGCTCTCAGCAAGTGAAAGCATCAGCATCCAGCCTTGGTACCTGGGAGGTGTGGCTTGGGGCATCCCAAGCATATCATTCTGTGTCCTCCCTCTTTGTCAGAGGCTGCAAACACCCTAAGCAACCAGGGCATTGAATAGCTCATCATCAGTAAGCCAATGATGGTCCAGTTAAGACTGGACAGTCCTCTTCTGTCCACCTGATCTCAGCATCCTCATAGTCATGGTGTGTTGTCTGAGCAGGTCAGGAAGGGGAGGGGAGAAGGAGGCAGCCAGCCATTGAGCTCAGGTGCATGACAGGTGTGTACCTTCAGACTCACAGATGTACCTGGGAAAGAGGCCACCTAGCCCTCCATTCTCCAGGGACTAGAGCCTCCATGCCCATTGAGTTATGGGGACCCTCTGAGTCACAAAGAACATCCTTGAGCTCCAGGTTGTGTAAGCTTCTGGCTGTCTGCATAAACCCCATCAATCAGCTGGAACCCACAGAGGTCGTGGTCTGAACAAAACTGATTCATGAAATGGCCCTGTAAATCTGGGAATGTTTTGTCATCTCAGGAAAAGGTTTTTAACAGGACTTTTAATATGATTTTTCCTTTGAGACATTTTAATAAAACATAATAATTGGAGATGTTGTCAACAAAGATCAGGGACTAGCAGCTGTGGACCATGTCTGTGTGTTGTAAATGCCCTTCCATGTTCTACGCCTGGGGTAGTTTTCACATTTTTAAAGGGTTCTTAAAAACACACAAAACTGAAACACTTTGCTCCAGACAGTCTATGTGGCCCACAGAATCTGAATTTTTACTGTCTGGCTCTACAGAACACGTGTGCAGACCTCTGATGTAGCTGGTCTGAATTATTCAAGCTTCTCAAGTATGAGTGTTAAGGTCCCTTACTAAGTGCATGGATTCCTTACACTCTGAGTCAGTGTAGCATTGGAGGTGATACATTACTTTTTTAATATTTTATTTATTTATCTTTAGAGGGGAAGGGAAGGAGAGAGGGAGAGAAAAAAATCAATGTGTGGTTGCCTCTTGTGTGTCCCCTGATGGGAACAGGCCTGCAACCCAGGCATGTGCCCTTACTGGGAATCGAACTGCAATTGTTTGGTTCGTAGGCCCATGCTCAATCCACTGAGCCACACCAGCCAGGTGTAATGCATTAATTTAATAGATGGAAGTAAGGTTCTACTTTGAAAAGCAATATTCAGAGTCACAGTTTCATCCCTCTTTGAGCCTAATAAGGCTGCCTCTGGCCACAGCCTGCCATCCCCTGCCTCTTTCCCTCTGGCCCTTTCAGGAACAGTGTCCACCCACCTTGCCTGGCAGTCCTCAGAAGCCAGGCATTATGTCTTGGGTTATATTAAATCTTATTTTAAGTATGAGAAAGAAGCTTGTTGGTTAGTTTAATCTTTGGAAATCTTGAATGAAGACCCTGATTTAAATATACATTAAAGGATTAAAAATGTCTCATAACTCAATATAGAAAACAAATTTGACTCAGAGGAATATACTAATGAGTAGAAATCTGTTCTTTATTTTTTAATAATTTTATTTGGGGATGGCTTTAGATTTATGGACAAGCTGCATAGATGGCACAGATAGGGGCTATGTACACTTCTCACAGCTTCCCCTGATGTGAATGTCTGTGAGTGTGGAGTAGTCACAAACTGAACAGCTATTGCTGATACAATGCTGTGAACTAAACTGTGGAGTTTATTCAGACTTCACCAGCTTTTTCACCAATGGCTGTTTTCTGTGTCAGCATCCAGCCCAGAGTCCCATGCTGTGCTCAGTTCAGGGTCCTTCCATGTTTAAAATTCACTACTGACCACATCACATTCACACAGGCTTTTAGAGCAAGAAGACCAGACCTTCTGCTTTCAAAGATTCCTTTTAGATCTATGGTTTTAAAAAAAATTCTGTAACATGAAAATCACACAACAGAAAGAGATAAAAAATTCTTCAGCTTACGTTCAAGTGCTTTTAAGGATCTTTGCATAGATGTCCAGCCCATACTGACAAAAGGAAACCCTTACTAATTTTTCTTAGAGACTTAAAACTCTCATAATTAGGAAATTCTTAAGTTACAAATAAATCCCTTCTGTGACAGTCTACTTCAGCAATAATGACAAAGACTTTATTATTGTAATTATTGAAAATATAATCACTGGTTTAACTTGTCCTGAGAACCAGGGCCCTGGCAGCTTGGTGGCCATTGGAGAGGACAGGCAAAGTTGAGAACAGAAGGCAGGCACTTTGGGGCTGTGGCAGGGGAGAAAGGAGGGCACCTCAGAGCAGGCTTTGCCAGGGTACCACTTCTCCTCACCTGTAAGTATGGGGAGACCTAGAGGCTGGGGGTTCATGGGCCAGCAGTTCCACTGAGAACAGTTTGGCAGGGGAAGAAAGCATTGGACTTTTTTGTTGCAGATGCCTGGAAGTCAAAGTCAGGAGCCCAAAAATCTAAAACTTACCAACCCTCCTTTATCCCCCCCCAAAAAAACCTCTCAGAAAAAGTGTCAGTTATACCACAGGAACGCATTAGTTTCCTCCTGCCAACTGAGCTTTCACATTGAGCATGAGCTTTTGTATTTAAAATCATTTCCCTTTTTAAAACAGTGGGGGAAACTGGATTTGAAGAAACTGTGTTCTGTTTCCAGACAACATCCTCCTGTTGATGACCTTTGGGAGAGAGTTGAATTCACTCACCCTCCATCAGGAAGTCAATGCTGCTTCCAGATACACAGTCCATCTCTGCCTCCAGCCACTCTTGCTCTCAGGGGGCCAGTCCTGGATTAGTAGACACCCCTCTCCTGTGGGGATGGGGACAGACCAACCCACTATGAGCTGGCTTGTGTTGGAGGACTTGTGCTTGCACTTACAAGAGTAGGGCAGGAGCACCTCTGAGCTCCACACAGTGTCAGGCACTCTACATCCTGGTGTGTGTGCCTGTGCCCACAGGGAGCATATGGGGCCGTGGGAAACAGCTCTGCTGGGCGGGGTGGGGGGGACCTGTTTGCTTCATCCACAAGGGCAGAAGGGAATCTAGCCATTCTTTTCCTAGGGAGCTCCATCTGGGCTCAGAGCAGTCCTAGAATTTCTGTTCCATTTTTGGAAAACTCCAGTTTTTATAAAGTTCTTTCCTATGTCGATCAACACTTGCACTTCCTGAGACTTCTCTTAGGAAGGCTGCCTAAGAGTGTGAAGGCTGCCTTCTGGAGGTAGGATTTAACCCTCTTTTGTCACAGCAGTCTAGTTTGGAGACCATAGGCACCAGCATAGAGCTAAGTCAACAACATAGGCTCTGAATTGCTCTGGCTAGACTTCCAGCACTGTATTGAATAGAGTGGGCATCCTTGGCTGGTTCCTGATGTTAGGAAGAAGCTTTTAGTTTTTCACTGTTGATTATGATGTTAGCTGTGGGCTTTTCGTTTCTAAAAAAGATTTTGTATATTTTTAGAGAGATGGGAAGGGAAAGAGAAGGAGATAAACATCAATGTGTGGTTGTCTCCTGCACACACCCTACTGGGGACCTGGCCCACAACTCAGGCATGTGCTTTAACTAGAAATTGAACCAGTGACTGGTTGGTTCACAGGCCAACACTCAATCCACTGAGCTACACCAGCCAGGGCGAAGCTGTGGGCTTTCCATATGTGGCCTATGTTAAGTTGAGGTCACTTCCCTCTATTTATTTTTAGCTTGTGTGTATATGTGTGTTTATCATGAAAAGATGTTATATGTTGTCAAATTCTTTTTCTGCATTTTTAAAAGATGGTATTTTGATTTTTTCTTCATTTTATTAATATGGTATATCACTTTTACTGATTTGCATATATTGAATCATCCTTGCATTTATGGATAAATTCTACGTGATTGTGGTATCTGATCCTTTTAATGTACTGTTGAATTTAGTTTTCTAGTATTTCGTTGAGAATTTTTGTATCAATAATCATTAGGTATATTGGTCTGTAGTTTTCTTTTCTTGTCATGTTATTTCCCGGTTTGGGTTTAAAGGTAATGTTGGTCTTATAAAATGAGTTAGAAAGTATTACCTTCTCTTCAATTTTTTGGAAAAACTTGAGAAAATAGGTATTAATTCTTCTTTAAATACTTGGTAAAATTCACCAGTGAAACTATCTGGTTCTAGGCTTCTTTTGGGGGAGGTTTTTGATTACCTGTTCAGTGCCTAATTATTTGTTACTAATTATTGGTTTGTTCAGATTTCCTGTTTCTTCATGATTTAGTCTTTATAGAATCATATATATGGTTCTAGGAATTTATTTATTTCTTCTAGATTATCCAACGTGTTGGCCTATAATTGTCTAGAGTAGTTTCTTATAGTTCCTTTTATTTCTGCAACATCAGTTATGATATATCCCCTTTTATTTCTCATTTTATTTATTTAAATA